ATATATGTATCTGTATGATTTTACGATGAACTGTTTATCTCTCGGGTTTGGTGAGTACGTGCATCTCCGTAGGTGGCGAGGCGGTGGTTTCTTAACAACGGTGAGGGATTTAGTGGCACAGCACAATCCTCATCCGTCTCGCTCACACTTCGTACTGCTGCGTGTGCAATGAACTCTCCTGTTGCTCTGCGCTACACTTCAACGGCGTGGTAATAATATATATTTTTTTCCTGTTTTCCTCCCCCTTCTTACCGTGCGTTAGTGCTTCTTTGGACTCTCGCACCGAAGCGAGGCGGAAAGGGCGTAGAGAAGTCCAATAACCGCAACAATAACAACAACTGAGCAAACAGAAGACGTGGGGCCAAGGCAATGTTTAAGTTTGTCCCCACAAAGGGGAAAAAACCAGGCTCTCGCGGGGATGTCGCACAACTCGGCAACGAAGTCCCACACACTCAACGCGAGGGAAGTCCGGGCGGTCGTGGCGGCGGTAGCGCCGATGACGATGACGGCCTCTACTCTCACACCTCAGAGAGCCCCAAGGATCACGAGCGTGTGAGGGCGGCCGCACAGCCCGCCGCATCACAAGGTGGTGCAGCAGCAGCAGCAGCAGCGGCAAAAACAACAGCTGTAACAGCAATACCTGCTCGCAGCGGCAACGGCAAAGGCAGCGACAAGCGCGACGCCGGTAGCAAAAATAGGAACGTGTCAACGGGGAATCCCGCGGCTCGTGCGATGGAAAATTCTGCTGGAATCCTCCCCTCCATTGACGGCAGAGTGGCACTCGTTGGCTTTATGGCCTTCAGTGCGGTAAACTGCTTCTTCATGATTCTTGCGACGGCACTTTCGCAGCTAGACGTGCTTGGTGGTGGCTGTTACACCTACTGGGGGTATAAAGAAAACTGTGACACAGTTAGCTACTCTAACCGTACGGTACTCTTGACATGTAAAGCGACAAAGAAACGGTTGCAGGCGGGTGCCGCATTTTCTATCTTCGCTATTCTTTTAATGACCACTCTATTATACCTGATCTTCAACGCGTTTATGAGTTACCGCGCGGAGTCACGGAAAAATCGGTACTCCGAAGTCCATGTTGTGGAAGGAGGGCAGCGCAATCAACAACACGGACAACAACAGCAGCGTGAGACAGCCGTGCCCCTCGTTTCCAAGTGGCACATCGTTGGAGTGGCGGCTGTGGCCTTACTGTGTGAGATGATCTGCTGGACGATGTCAGCCAGCATCTACGCCTCCCGCTACTGCGAGGACAAGACGCTGCCGCGCACCACAACGTACGGCGTGGGCTTCGGCCTGCTGCTGACTGGCTGGACCGCGGAGGTCGCTGCGCTGGTGGTGTTCGTGCTCGCTGTCTGAGTAGGAGGCGTCTGAGGGGGCGGAGGGGAGAGACTGATCGGTCCATCTCATGTTTTCTCTCTTCTTTTCCTCTTGCTTTTCTTCCATTGACGAAGACAAACACATGAACAAATAAGGAAATCGGTGCGCTATTGTCACGCACGCAATAGAGACGGCAGCATGTAATGCGGCCAGCACGAGACTTTGTAGAGGCGGGTGGCTGTTTTTCGTGTTTCTTTTATTGGTATTGTTATTTTGCTGCGCACCAGAGCGTGGCCTTCCCCATCGTATGAAAGGGATTATGTCTGAGCCCTCTCTATTTGTGAATTTATGTGTCACATTCTCTCCTTTGTACCGTTGGTCTTGTTGCTGTTGTTCGTGTTTCTTTTTTTTTTCTCTTCGCTTTGCCTCGTATCATGCATTTGTGTTTCTTCTTTCTGTCTGCAAGGTGTCATTACCGGCAAGGCGCTCTCTCCACGGGAAGAGTGGGTGGCTTGAAGGTTGGGGGATTTTAAAGCAGCAGCAGCAACTAAACGCCCATAGAAAGAGGTGTGACGGCCAATACGCAAAGTGGCAGAGTTGCGTCTCCTCTTCGAGAAGGTAGCGAAGTACAAACAAAGGCAAATTAGATGAGCCGCCCCCCGCGCGAGATGCGCCACGACAGTGGAAGCAACAGCAGCAACAACGGTGAAACGGCAGTGGCGCCACTGCGCCAGCAAGAGTCGCCCGTGCGTCCTTTTGGGCACGACTCATCATTGTTGATGACGTCTAAGCAGCAGCCAACCACCGCCATAGGGGGCTTTCAGTCGGCATTCCCCAATGCTGTTGGCGATACCAAAGCAAAGAGCGTCAGCGAAAACATTATCAACAACGTCAAGGTTCGCAAGGTGCGGGTCTTTGATGAAATTACCACCTCCTCTGAGGACTCGGAAGGCGGAGGTGAGGAAGAGATCACACCAGCTCTCAAACCAATGGTGGATTTGCCTTCTCTCGCAGAAGTAGAGTCGATGCCGCGGGATAGTCTGGTGCCTGGCGACGACACCCTAAAGGTCGCAGAGGCGATGGCGTCGCATATAAAGCGTCCTTCGTCCACTTCCGGTGGCATGCCAGCAGCAGCACCGCCAACACCATTAACACCGCCGAACAGAACACTGAGCCCCAATCAACTGAACATCGCTGATGAGATCCCTCTGGTAGATGTTGCTGCACCAGCGCTGCTGTCAGGGGAAAATGTCCAGCGCGGCAGCACACAGGGTCATCGTGGCGATACGCAGGATGATGATGGTGCGCCTGACACACACAAGACGTTCATGACGCATGTGGAGGATATGTGGGAATTTGGGAAAGCAACAGACTCTCGCGTACTCGTTATGTTTACTACCACCCTTGTTGCGTTTCTGCTGAACGCTGTGGGGATGCCGCTCTCTCAGGTAGATGTGTTGGGCGGCGCGTGCTACACATACTGGGGATACAAGGACGACTGTGATGCTCACATATACACCAACCGCACGGAGTTCATCACCTGCTTACCCATCAAGAAGCGGCTTGACGTCGGGGCGGCCTTCAGCATGATGACACTTTTTACTCTCCTTGTTGGGCTGGTGTGCTGCACTCTCATGCTATACAAGAACCCGCGGTGGCTGCGCACGCCCATTATTATCATGTTATCCATCGCCTTTCTCTTCCAGATGATCGCGTGGGCGGTCATCGCCAACATTTTTGTTTCACGTTACTGCGAAAATACATTGCTTCCGCGGAGCACGGCGTACGGCGTTGCATTTGGTATGAGTGTGACGTCGTGGCTCCTCCTCCTCATCGGAATGCTTGCAGGTGTTTTGTTGCTCGTGCGGTAGTAGATAAAGGCTTGCAGACATTGCAATTGCCGCCGCTGTATATCGGACGGGGAGAGGCGCGTGGGGCAACGGGACGTTGTGTGTGGGTCGGAACTGCCTTCCTTCGGTCGATGATGGGCTGTGTCACGTGTGCGCACTTGGGATGTTGCTGCCTCCTCGTGCTTTTCCTAAAGAGAATGGACGGTATGGATAAAAACGATATAGACAGAAATAATAGGCGATTAAACAAATTATATATATATATATATATATATCAGCAATGTCGATTCGGCTTCCATACGCAGTGGTCGCGGCCGACTTGGATGGGAGCTTGTTGACTCTCGAAAGCCGTATCAGTGCACGCGCAAAGGCAACTCTGCAGCGTCTTTCAGCGAAGGGCGTGCATGTTGTGTTGGCGACGGGGCGCCACTACCCCGAAGTCGCGATCATTCTGGAGAAGCTCGAGCTGCCGCGTCCTGGCTTCTTCATTGCTTGCAATGGGGCCCGTGCGCTCATGGGTGGCAATACTTTCCCGAGCAGCAGGGCATCCGGCCATGGTGACGTTGGATTTCTCTTGGAGAGCGATATCGACCCTGATGTGGTCTGCAGCATACTGCAGCTTCTGCCGGATGATGAAGAGGAGGTCAACACCAACTTGTTTCAGGCGGATGAGTGGAAGAGTAGTCTTGACTGGCTGGACCAACTCCGGTATCACCAGGAGAGCGGCTTCCGCTACTCGGTGGTGAAGCCACGCACTCTTGTGGAGCAATATAGGCTCTATCTGCAGCAGAGAGGTGGTGGGCCTAGTAATACTAGTTTCCAGAATCCGCTCGTGAAGGTCGCAAAGATTGCGTTCATCTCTGACAACAGTGAACGCCTCTACGAGCTGTGGAAACGCATCAGAGTAGATTTCAAAGGAAAGGTGGAAGTGGCACTTTCCTCCTACTGCTTGGACGTCTGCAATGCGGGGGTAACGAAGGGGAATGCCATTAAGCAACTGCTGCCGCGGCTGGCGCATGACGGCGCACCAGTATCCCTGGCGGAATGCATTGCCTTCGGCGACGGCATGAACGACAAGGAGATGCTGGAGACTGTGGGAAAAGGCTGCATCATGTCCAACGCGTCGCAACAATTAAAGGAGGCGCTACCGCATTTGGAGGTTATCGGTTCGAACGCCACGGATGGTATTGCCAACAAACTGTCGAGTGTATTTGAGCTTGACTGAGGAACGGCGTGTATGTTTGTGTTTGTGTGTGTGACAGAAGAACTATACTTGTCAACTGGGGAGGGGTTGGTTGGTTGGTTGGTTGGTCGGGAGTATGTCTCCGTGCGGTGGTTAGATCTCGTTTCCGTTAAGGGAGCTGCTGTATAACCATGTCTGTATCTGAATACGTACATATATATATATATATATATATATATGTCTGTGTGTGTGTGTGTCGTGTGGCTGCTGTAGCAACGCTCGTTTCCCCTTTAAATCTTCCTCCGAAGTGGTTTTCCTCTGTGTTGTGGCTTGGTCACATCACTGCAAAGCAAGCGGTGAGAGGCAAAAAAAAAAGCGAAACTGAAACAACTGGTGTAAACGAGAGAAAAGGAAAAACGAAAAGACGTGTAACATCTCCCCCATAACGAAAATTGGCAAAGAAGACAAAATACACCAAGTAATGTCTGGTGCTAAATCACCCCTTTCCGGGTCTGCGAAGACGAGGCGGTGCTGCATCACTCCCTCTGGTGAATCAGGGGTGTCTTACAGACACAACCCGTACAGCAGCCCGGTCTGCAGGAGCGACACCAGCACGCCCAAGTGCCCCAACCCGTGCAGACATCACGCGGAGGGCCGCTGCAACCGCGGCAGTACCTGCAGATTCTACCACGAAGAGACGCATAACATTATCACAGCGCCGCATATAACGCCGAAGCAGCGCTCCATCACGCCGTTGACGGGCATTCCACAACTAACAGCGCTGATGGGCGGCTTCGCCACCACGTCGCCCACCATACTGGTAGACTCCCCCATCCGGCCGAAAGGTAACACGGCAACCACCCCGGCGGCAGCGGCTAGCAGCACGACGGCCAAGGCACAGCCGCCAGTTTCAGACGTCGTAGCTGAGGACACGCTGTCCCCCAAATACGCGCAGGCGCTGTTGGGCTTCGACGTTGGATTCCCAGTGGTCGACTCTGTGCCGGCAAACGACAGCTTGACGATGGCCTCGCCGCTCAACTCTAACCGCTACACACCATATTGTGGCAGCTTCAGTGGGAGCGCGGACTGGTCGCCAAAGCGGAACTGAGGTGAGGGCCACCTCGCCTGCGCGCTCTCTCTAACTGCTCGTGTATTAGCAAGCGGTGGGGGTTAGAAGAGAGTGAAGAAAAAAATAATGCGGGGGAAAAAAGGATAGAAATGCTGAAGGAGAGGCATTGAATGAAAGATGGGGGGTGACGGGGAACCAAGGAATAACGAGCGCGCAATAAACGCGTCAGGAAGATGAGCATCAGCACCAAGAGTGGGAGATTGTGCAGTTTTGTGTCGTCTCTCCCCTCGCATTTGGCGGTCGCCCTTCGCAGCCCACGCATTACCGCCGCATTTCTCCTTTCTCTCCGCCTTTATATCTTCTTTTTTTTTGCTATGCTTTTATTTTTCATTGCCCCGGTGTCGTTTTTGGTTGTGCTTCTGTTCTTTTTTCATTGCGCCCTCTTGCCCCCTCTGTTGCGCAGTTGCATGCAACATTTTTTTTCCCTGCACGTCGTAAAAATCCGTGGGCATCCTTCTCCCCGCTTGTAGCTGACGAAGACGTGGACGTTGATGCCGGTGTTTTTTTTTACTGTTATTATTATTATTATTATTATCATTATTATTATTGTTTCTTGCTGCCTTGCTCTCTCACGGTACACATTTATCGTCCCGCATGCTCCATTCATCAACAACGGATGTTGTTTACGTGTGAGAGAGTGAGAGAAAGAAGGAAAGAAAGCCTCAATAAACAATTGAGTCACTAAGAAGGGGAAGAAGAAAAAAAAAACTGGCAGCAGCGTAGAGAAAGAGATAGCTGTTCCCATTCAAGGCATCGCTGCTCTTTCTCTCCCGGCTCCTATCTGAGCGGGGGGAGGGGGGGGGGCAACAGCAACGATAACAAGCCCAAGACAAGCACTAACTCCCCACGTCTCACTTGCCCTCATGCAGGCACCAATTTGGCGGGCACTGCTTTGATGCCGCCGTTCGCGCAGGTGTTACCGCCGCCGGGTGTGCTGCTGTGGCGTTGTGGTTAAAATGTTGGTGTGGGGTTCACCAGTGGGGTGCTTCACAAGGGCGTGAAGAGGGTGGAACGCTGAGGCGGGAAGGGCCGATGAAGAAGAAGCAGCCCAAAGGAGGAGGAGGAGGAGCGACGAGAAATGGCATGGCGGAAACAAAAAAAAATGATACGTTCAATGAAAGAAGGAAACAAGAAACCACAAAAAGAAACCGAATGACAGAAATAAACAATGAACAGGCAATTAGGGTCTTTAGAAATATATATTGCTTCTGTTCCTTTTCCTGTTTCCCCCCTCTCTCTCTCTTTCTCTTTCTCTATCTTTTTATTTTCGTATGTTTTTGTTTGTTGTTTTTCTTCTACTATTCAAGCGTAAAATGCAGAATATACCACCGTCTGTTTGTTGTTTTGTATTATTTTTGTCATGTTATATTTTGGCTTCATGCAGTCCCACTTCTGCATTCGGAGCCGGTGGTGGCGGTTGCCACACACCTGTTGAGACGATTTGCGAGCAACGAGGTTGGGGAAACAAACGACATGTATGCAGCGACAACTCTGTGTGTGTGTGTG